AAAAAACTTCTCAAGTCTTGTTAAATTTTTCTTCGTTAAGTTATTTTGCATTTTGTCATAATGTCTGAAGAGCGAAGAATTAGGTTTTCATTATATTAGGGGGGAGGGGGGGATGAGGTTGTGGTGGAGAATAACTTAGTACGCTATAGTTGTTCTCCACAGTGTCATGTTAAGTTACCACTTACAACGGAGTACGATAGATTGTTATTGTTGTTATGTAAAAAAATGAGTGTGAGCAAACGTTCGGTTAATATTAAAGTAACCGGAAGATATCCGTATTTTGTTACTCCGCAAGAGGTTGCTTGTTATGCTAAGTTTAACATCGAAGACGATGAAACTCTGACAGATTTTTTGAGGACTACAAATGAACACCGGAAACTTTTTGTGATAAAAATGTTGGAAATGTATGTCAAGGCTGAAGATGTTCGCAATAATGAGGTTCCGCAAAATAGGGATATCCCTCAATCATCGGGTGGTTTTTTTGGCAGTTTTATCCGAACAGGTTGCGGGTGAAAGAGTTTGGCCAGATCTAAACTTATCTCCACGGACGAATGAGGAGCGAGGACATAATTTATCCCCAAGTTTACATAATCCACAAGCCGAGTGATAAACTTCAAATTTCCTTTGCGTTACAATGTTTATTTTTATGTATTGAATTTGTATTAACACTCATATATTCCACAAGGGGGTACCGGCCAGATATGAATTTTACAAGTTATGAACCAACAGACAGTTCGAATATGCCTAGTTTTGGTATGTTGGATCATGGTAGTCCATCCGGGAGTCATCAACAACAGGATAGTATGCATCATGGGATATCAACACATTTTGATTTGTAAGTTAAGTGATAAAGTTTTTATGTAAAAGTTTGGATGAATTTGAGAAACTTATTATTTTATTGGTTGTGCAGTGAAAACGAGCAACTTGAAGGTCCTGTCCTTACTCAATTGCCCGAAGACGACATATTTAATTGGGATTTGACAGATGCGCAGAGTCAGGAAGATGCTAGTGATTATGACAACAATGTTGATGAGTCTGGAGATGACACACCCTTCCCTGATGATGGTGATGATGATGAGGATGAGAATGAAGAACCTGATTTGACGAGAGAGCATGCTCCACCTCCCATTAGACTAAGAGTATACAAGTCCCATGTGCCGTTTCATTCAAGGGTGATTCCCTACCTTGATCGGTTGCCAAGTATGCCGGATGTGTATGCCCTCACAAGGGATCTTGATAAAATTCGGACAGTAGTGTGGGATGAATCTACAACAACAGTGTTGTCAAAGGGCATGCTTTTTGCTGATAAAGCGCGCCTAAGCAAGGCAGTGCGGATGTACAACATAAAAGAGTGTCGTGAGATCGTGGTTCATGAGTTATTTTCGGAAGTATACAAGGTTATTTGTCGTATATGGTTTCAAGGTTGTAATTAGATATTGCGTGCGATAAAGTTGAAAATAAATATGTGGATTATAGGAAAATACATTGGCATCCACACTTGTGAAATGGATACATTAAGTGAGAATCATTTTAACTTGAATGTTGACTTGATTTCTCTTGTCTTGATTCCACATATTGAAGCGTCCATAAGGTACAAGATCAAAGAGTGTATAACATCTGTCCACCAGGTATATGGATGTACCATTACCAAAAGAAAGGCATTTCTCGGGCGTAAACGTACGTTTTAAATTATTTATGGTGACTAGGATAAGTCCTTTGCCGCTCTACCCAGGTACATGGATGCGTTGCAACACTTTAACCCCGGGACTGTTGTTGGATGGAAGCTTGAGCGGAGTCCGAGAATACCAAAATACATATTTAGGTATGTGTTCTGGGCATTTAAACCAGCCATTGATGGTTTTGTGCATTGTCGGCCGGTAATATCCATAGACGGCACTCATGTCTATGGAAAGTATTATATTAAGTTGTTGATCGACGTTGCAGTAGATGCTAATGGTAGTATATTTCCCCTAGCATTTACTATTTGTGCCAATGAAAGCCAAGAGATGTGGACATTATTTTTAAACCACTTGAAGGAGCACATTGTCAAACAACGTTAAGGTATTTATCTAACATCTGATCGGCATGGCGGTATTTTAAGTTCTGTACATAATTTGCGTGCACGGCAAGAACGGTGTGCCTGCCACTGTTACTGTGTTAGGCACTTGAAGGCCAACTTCCAGAGGGCTTATCCATGATTTAATGTGGATGGCTTCAACAGATCACCAAGAGTGTAAATTCGGGAGGCGAATGGAATTGATTAGGAAGAAAGATCCAGAAGCCTATCGTTATGCGACATGAGCTTGACAAGTGGACTTTGCATAAGGATGGTGGTAAAAGAAAGGGAAATTCTGACTACATGTGTCAGAGTCTTTCAACGGGTTATTGAAGTCTGCACGTAGATTGCCTGTCATTGCCATGGTGCGGATGTCATTCAAGAAGATGGCAGAGAGGTTTGTTGAAAGATCTAGAGGTGCATCATCATTGATGGAAAGGGTTGTTGAATTTATGCCACAACCAATGAAACGATTTGAGAAATATAGGAAGCGAGCACAGTGGCATTCATTTTTGCAGTATTGCAGCGAGCGAAATATTTTTGAAGTTCGCACTGGTCTGCATCACAAATGCGGGAATAATACACACACTGTCAATGAAGCCAGAAGATTATGTTCATGTGGAAAATGGTCAATCTATCACTTTCCATGCTCACATGCAAAATTTATGAAATACAATTATGTTTTCAATGGGGTTAAATCTAATTAATATTTAGCATTAAAGATTCAATACAACAATTTAACATACACCCCAAGAAATAAATAGCAATTTTTATTGGCCATTATCGTCACTGTCTGGCACTATTTCATTGTCACTGTCTTTATCTTCTTCGTCAACATCTTGTATGCACCCTTCCAGACCGAGGGCATCGTAATCTAGGCCGAGTTGACACATATTTCTCATATTTCATCGCTATCATCAATAATACCACTTGCTTGATTTCTACAACAATATGGGACTCCTACGCCCAATGTCTGTGATATAAACATAGGTAGTCTCTCCCACTCGACAACTATTGGGAAAGCAGGATAATCATTGTCTCTATGCAATGTTAAATTTTATAATTAATCCCAATACTGATCCTCCGTCCCTTCCAGGTAGTTAAGATCATCCATTGCATGATTAACGGCTAGTGCCTTTTCCATCTCTAGAATCTCCTTCATCAAATGCTGAATCACTTTTGGTTCATCTTTATGTGTGTTTGTTTGGAAGGTTGCAGACAGTGCTTGTGGTAAAACAAGCCCATGCCCGTGACATAGTACTTCATAATCACATCATTTTGAGTAAAGGGGAACCCATTGTAGTTTTTCGCCCCAAATTCGCATACCTTCAGGCTTTGTAGAATGCGCTTCACCCTCAATAATGTGCCCTGCAACTTTGAGATCGGTGTGTATATTGATAGGCTTATTTTCCAAGGGACATAGAACACCATACCACTTATCATCAACCAAATCTGTATAGCAACCTAGCATATTCTTTTCAAGGTAGGGATCGATTGTGTTATGACGTATTCCATGTGGATCTTTTAAACTACCTTCACCTTTTTGCCTCTTCTTAAACCACTTATTAAATGTTAGTGGCATTTCTGAAATGGATGTTGTGATGGTTCTTCAAATGGTCTTTGAATACTGATCTCTTGGTTCAACTTAAGAAGAACTAAACTGCACGAACTTGTATATTAAACGTAGCGCCTCACCAATATGCGCTATGTGTATTGTCATATCGACCTGAAAAAGCTGAACCCACTTGTACCCTAGAGAATCACTATCACGCGAAACACAACACCTCACCAATATGCGCTATGTGTATTGTCATGTTGACCTGAAAAAGTTGACGATCTAAAAAAGCTGTCGACTTGAAAAAGCTGGACCCACTTGTACCCTAAAGAATCATTATCACGTGAAATATAGCACCTCACCAATATGCGTTATGTAACCTAAAATCACTCTTAGCTGTCTATAAAAACCTCACGCATTTTAGTTATTAGTTG